GGAATGTCCGAGGAACAAATACTCTTGAAACTAGAAATGCATCTTCTTTTTTCTATCAAACCAAACCCCATAGGACCTTAAAAATGAAGATACCAATAGAAAAGTATGTGAAGAATTAGTATCTAACAGGATACTGAGATATCTTTAATATTTTTTGAGTTACAGGCCTGCAAACTTCAGGGAAAAAATACAAAACTTGTCATCACCATTGGTATATAATGCAGCAAACATTGCTAAAGTCAACTGATTTTCATAGACCTACCAATATGTGAGTAAAAACATAATAATGATGCTGCAGTCTTTATAAAGTTATTTATAACTTTATAACTATATAACTAACTTTATAACTATTATATTTATAATTTATATTTTCACCCTGTAATTTATCTCATCTACAAAATATTGATTACTCAGTACATATTCATCCATAACATTTAATATTTTGGCTTTCATCTTCATTTATGTATTTATTTCATCAGAAAGAGCTGTGAACTGAATCCATGAAGTCTTTTGTTGGCAGGTGACTGAGTGATTGAGTTGACCAATGAAATCAGCGGTGGGAAAAAAAACACACAAAACCAAAACGTTATATATAATGAATAATATATAATTGGTCTGAACAAAACCGGCAGACAGACTGAATGAAAATGCTAATTTATGCTAGTTCAATGTCAAAAACATGAATGCTTTGAATGCTTTAAAATCTCTTGAATGTTTTAATTGGTAACGCTAAAAAACATGTGCAAATAGTATGCTTTCGTGAGAACGTGCAGCAGTGGCCCATCAACTGTCCTGAGTATATTTCATGCTGGCCTTGGGCAGTCGCCGGGGGCTCCCCACAGCCATGGGCCCCTATAATCGTCACCACCTTTCACCCCACTAGCGACGGCCCTGAATATTCCAAACCTGTACTGGTGAACTGTTGAGCCATGAAAAGCTGGATAAAGTCAAACTCTGTAAACTGGGAGCATCTCTCACATGCAAATTGAAAATATACGGTATCTGGTGAAAAAATTACACTTCTAGAAAATTCAGCACGGAACTCCCGCACTTTTCTCTTTTGGATTTGTATATGGCAACCTTGAAACGCTTTAGTGTATTGCTCCCACCTGCTGGACATTCCTGGTAACATACACACACATAGGGTTTTCATGTTTATGAAGATTTTGCATAGACATAATGATTTTATATGGAGAATATTTTACATTATTTTCACGTAATTTACACTGAATAATCTCTCCTGACAACAAGATTATCATCAAATGAGCTGCTGAAAAGCCAATAGTTCCCTGTTTTCTCCTCATTCATTATGATGATGTCTGAGATCTTCTGTAAATTGGCACATTAAGCTCATTTCATTGTGTGTCAACAGACTGAGACAAACTACAGGATCAACACAAATAAAATCTATTACCGAACAACTAAATACTATAATGGACTAACACATTAATAAAAATCACACATAATCAGAGATGTCAGTGAAATGGAGATTTTATTTGTTGCATATATAACAATAATGCATTTATAAATACAGTTTAATTTGGGTGTTTCTTTGTCAGTGTCTTAATGAGCAGACATTTAATCAAAGAATAAAAAACATCATTGTAAGAATAAAGTGACTAAATACTTTTGCTCTTCTCCAACAAAACAGAAAAAAAACATCCCAAATCTTGTGGCATTTCACAGCAAAACTTGTTTATTTGAGCTAATCTCATATTTACTGAATCTGAATCTCACATAATTTATTTGAAATACTGAATCTGTAGAAAACATTTGCTCACTCTGACACAGAGCAATGCTTTTTAATATGAGTCACAAGAGTCACTGACTGAGTGAAACTCTCTCCACACTGAGTACAGTGGTACGGTTTCTCTCCAGTATGAACTCGCTCATGCCTTTTCAGGCTTCCAGACTCAGTGAAACTCTTGCCACAATATGAGCACTTGTAAGGTTTTTCTCCAGTATGAACTCGCTCATGTGTTTTCAGGTGTCCAGACTGAGTGAAACTCTTGTCACAATATGAGCACTTGTAAGGTTTTTCTCCAGTATGAATCCTTTGGTGCTGTTTCAGATCGCAAGCTCTAGTAAAGCTCTTATCACACTCAAAGCACATGTGATCTCTCACTTCATTATGTGTTTTCTGGTGTAGTTTATAACCATATAGCCATGAAAAACTCTTTCCACAGTACGAACACACATGAGGCTTCTCATCTGAATGAACTGTCAGGTGTTCCTTTAGATGTGATGAAGAAATAAACTTTTTACCACACTGATCACAGTTAAAAGGCTTTTCTCCAGAGTGAACATGCAGATGATAACTGAGACCTGATGCTGCAGCAAAACTCTTCCCACACTGAGAGCATGTGTATGGTTTCTCTCCAGTGTGGATTCTCATGTGTCCTTTAAGGTTTTCTTTGTCTCTGAAACTCTTTCCACACTGTGAGCAGGTGTGAAGCTGTTTGGCTTTTTTTCTTGAAGTTTTGATTTTACAACGTTCCTCCTCCACTTCATTCACCTCATGTCTTTGCTGTTTTACTTCCATCCAGTCTAAAATAAACAAACAATGTGGTTAAAATCAGTTAAAGTGAACCTGATTAAATAGCAGAAACCAAAAGAGGTCACATATTTATCTGTGAGTATGAAGTATCAGATCTTTGATGTGCCAAAGGATATTCTGTCATTCCTTGTTCATAAAATGAAAATGATAATGATTAAGATGATCATTTAACATTCCTATTGCTCATTATTTCAGAGCCACTAAATCTTTTTAACAGCAGTTTTAATGTGTCTCAGCAGTCAACAATGAAGAATCAAGAATGGACACCAACCTGTTTGTTCCTCAGTATCTTCATGTTTTATTCTGGATGGTCCTGAAACACTCATGTCGTCAATCTCCTCTTTAACAAACTCCATCTTTACCATAGTATGTGTCAGATTTCAGCTGCTGCACCTGGAGTCTGCACCAGTCCTGTAGGATGATGTGAATGTTCCTCATCTTTTAAACACAGTTAAAGCACAAACTCCGCCCACCACAGATTCTGAAGATTTCATTGGTCATGTCAATCACGGTGACCGCCTACACAACACTGAAACAAATCCAGTACAAACTTTAGTATAGGGTTAGTTAGTGACAAAGCAACCAAATTACCCCGAATCGAATCTTCCATCATTGAAGTGTCACCATTGGCATATAACGCAGCAGCTGTTGCTAAACTCAACTGATTTTACTAAATGACCTCTGTTCAAAATGATAAAATAACGATGCTGCAATCATTCTCAAGTAATTTTTTACCCTGTAATTTGGCTGCAAATCTTTACCTTTAAAATTACCCTATACAGCAAAATTGATTGATTACTCAATACATATTCATCCATGACATTTAATATTTTGTCCTTCTTCTTCATTTATGTATTTCTCTCACCAGAAAGAGCTGTGAACTGAATACATGAAGTCTACAATTTTGTTGAGGGGTGACGGAGTGATTGAGTTGACCAATGAAATTAAGCTTGCACTTAACTAATTCAGGTAAAAAACAAACATTTTGACAAAACCAAAACATTTTATAAAATGATAAACCTTTCATTTCAATTATGTTATATATAACTGGTTTAAATAAAAACAACAGACATCCTGAATGAAAATTCTAATTTATGCTAATCCAATGTAAAAAACAAAAAAACAACGAGAACAGGAATGTTTTTTTTAGCATTTAATAGTACTTCTAATCATGAAATTCAACCTGAGGGGTAAAAGATTAAAAACACACATCAACAGGTGATTATCACATAAAGTGTTGATCCTGTAGTTTGTCTCAGTCTGTTGACACACAATGAAATGAGCTTAATGTGCCAATTTACAGAAGATCTCAGACATCATCATAATGAATGAGGAGAAAACAGGGAACTATTGGCTTTTCAGCAGCTCAGTTAAACATTACGGCTCTGTTTCTGTCAGACTATTGTTTCACTAATTGTCAGTTACAGTGTTGTTTGCCAAATTTAATTGTATGCAAAAATTCTGCAATTACTGCAACAATACAAATGTACAAATATTGTGTCGCACCAATCAACCTGAAAACCTATCAAACTAACTGGATGAATGGATAGAATTTGCTCTTTGTGACAACATTTGGAAAACATTGTGCTTTTTATGCTTTGTCATAAGAATCGCTAGGGTTTAATGCACACTGAGTACAGTGGTACGGTTTCTCTCCAGTATGAACCCGCTCATGTGCTTTCAGGCTTCCAGACTCAGTGAAACTCTTGTCACAATATGAGCACTTGTAAGATCTTTCTCCAGTATTAATTGTTTGATGCTGTCTCAGTTGGCTAACTCTAGTAAAGCTCTTCCCACACTTACAACACATGTGATCTGTCACTTCATTATGTGCATTTGCTGTTAAAAATAACACTTTAGTAGCATATAAAATGAAGTTATAGGGTGGTTGCTAATTTTTATGTATCCCAGGGTTTTATCAAAATGAAACAGGGCAGAGGTTATATTATTCAATTAATATCTAATCAGAAATCTAGCATAGATTACAAAAATCCATTAAATGTACAATATGTACAGGCTGAATAGGGGGTATATAAGAAATTGTGAAATTGTATTTAGTTTCATTAAAACTCAGATTTAAACAACTTTACAGTTAAATTAATAGCTAAGACAAAAACAAGAAGTTCTGTAAAATGATAAACCTCATTTCAGCCTAATAAATGATTATGCATGTTATATATAAAATAGAATCGGTCTGAACAACAATGGCAGACAGGCTGTATAAAAAATGAAAAGTCACTATATGACAAATGGCACTTACAGAAAAGCAGGAAAACAGCATTTCCTCTTATTCAAAGCAGTTACTACTATAGTACACTTAACACTACTTTAGGCATCATAAAGAGATCAGATGAAAAGAAAATGCCATCGAAACACAATATATATATCATACAGCATTATATCTTCTTCAGAAATTCTTCTTTAAAATAAAACGTTATCAGCTATGCAAAGTGACCCACTTTGTTTTTTGAACACTGAAAATGTAACAATTTCAAGAAAAAAAGCCAAACAGCTTCACACCTGCTCACAGTGTGGAAAGAGTTTCAGACTAAAAGGAATCCTTAAACAGCACATGAGAATCCACACTGGAGAGAAACCGTACCACTGTACTCAGTGTGGAAAGAGTTTTGTTGCAGCATCAAGTCTCAGTTATCATCTGCACATTCACTCTGGAGAAAAGCCTTTTAACTGTGATCAGTGTGGTAAAAGGTTTATTTCATCATCAAATCTAAAAACACACCTGACAGTTCATTCAGATGAGAAGCCTCATGTGTATTCGAACTGTGGAAAGAGTTTTGTTGCAGCATCAAGTCTCAGTTATCATCTGCACATTCACTCTGGAGAAAAGCCTTTTAACTGTGATCAGTGTGGTAAAAGGTTTATTTCATCATCAAATCTAAAAACACACCTGACAGTTCATTCAGATGAGAAGCCTCATGTGTATTCGAACTGTGGAAAGAGTTTTGTTGCAGCATCAAGTCTCAGTTATCATCTGCACATTCACTCTGGAGAAAAGCCTTTTAACTGTGATCAGTGTGGTAAAAGGTTTATTTCATCATCAAATCTAAAAACACACCTGACAGTTCATTCAGATGAGAAGCCTCATGTGTATTCGAACTGTGGAAAGAGTTTTTCAAATCTGGACAATTGTAAACTGCACCAGAAAATCCATAATGAAGTGAAAAATCATGTGTGTTGTGAGTGTGCGAAGAGCTTTACTAGAGCTCGCGATCTGAAACAGCACCAAAGGATTCATACTGGAGAAAAACCTTACAAGTGCTCATATTGTGGCAAGAGTTTCACTCAGTCTGGACACCTGAAAACACATGAGCGAGTTCATACTGGAGAGAAACCGTACCACTGTACTCAGTGTGGAAAGAGTTTCACTCAGTCTGGACACCTGAAAACACATGAGCGAGTTCATACTGGAGAGAAACCGTACCACTGTACTCAGTGTGGAAAGAGTTTCACTCAGTCAGTGACTCTTGTGACTCATATTAAAAAGCATTGTTCGGTGTCAGAGTGAGCAAATGTTTTCTACAGATTCAGTATTTCAAGTAAATAATGTGAGATTCAGATTCAGTAAACATGAGATTAGCGCAAATGATTAGTTTTGCTGTGAACAAGATTTGTGGAGGTTTTTTTTCCAGTTTTGTTGGAGAACAGCAAAAGTATTTAGTCACTTTAGTCTTACATTGATTTTTTTTTATGTAACAAAAATATGTAAAAAAAAAAAAAGATATTCATTTATAACTGCATTATTATTATATGCAACATAAAAGTTGTGTAGGCTCTGTATAATGATGTAAATAAAATTTCCATTTCACTGACATCTCTGATTATGTGGATTATATAGTATTTAGTTGTTCAGTAATAGATTTTATTTGTGTTGATCCTGTAGTTTGTCTCAGTCTGTTGACACACAATGAAATGAGCTTAATGTGCCAATTTACAGAAGATCTCAGACATCATCATAATGAATGAGCTGAAAACAGGGAACTATTGGCTTTTCAGCAGCTCATTTGATGATAGTCTTGTTATCAGGAGAGATTATTCAGTGCAGATCAAATGAAAATAACGTAAAATATGTACAGATTGAAATCATTATATTCTATGGAAAATCCTCATAAACCATAAAAACCCAACACATATGTATGTGTTCCCTTACCAAAAAGTAGTATACTTCAAGTTTATTTTAGTAAGTATACTTAAGTAAAGTTCAAGTATATTTTTAAGTATACTTCATGTAGTAAGTATACAAATATCAGTGCACTAGTAGTATACTTGTAAGTGTACTATTTCAATACTCCTTGGGACTAAATTGGCCCACTTTCTAGTATATACAAGTATACTTTAAGTATAACAGTAGTCAGCTTTGAGTACACAACTAGTTTACATCAAAATGTTCAGTTTGTACTGCAACTATACTAAAAGTGAACATATGAATACTGATAGTTTACTAATTAAATACGTGTAGTAGCATTTTTAGTACACTTTGAAGTATAGTCTCAGTAAACTACTAGTTTAGTACTGCAAGCATACTCGTAAGTTTTCTTTAAGTGAACTTTACA